ATGGTGAGCAGATTGAAGTAGTCGAGAAGTTCGTGTATCTAGGTAGCTGCATAAGTGCTGGTGGTGGTGTGAGTGATGAGATCAATGCACGTATAGTGAAAGCCAGAGCGGCTTATGCCAATCTGGGCCATCTTTGGCGCCTTCGTGATGTTAGTCTGGCTGTAAAAGGTCGGATCTACAACGCGACGGTGAGAGCAGTTTTGCTCTATGCTTGTGAAACCTGGCCTCTCCGAGTTGAGGATGTTAGACGACTCTCTGTGTTCGATCATCGCTGTCTCCGAAGGATTGCTGGCATCCAGTGGCAACACCATGTCAGTAATGCAGAGGTTCGGCATAGAGTGTTCGGTCACAGAGACGATAATGAAATTGGTGTCACCATCTTGAAACACCGACTTCGGTGGCTTGGACATGTTTTACGAATGTCGTCCCAGAGAATTCCACGTCGTGCATTATTTGCCGACTCTGGGACTGGTTGGAAAAGGCGGAGAGGTGGTCAATGTATGACATGGTGTCGTGGTATGAAAGAAAGCTGCAAAGGGCTAGCTTCTGTTGGTCCTTCACGACTCTCTGGCTGGGGTCCGAGTGATGGTGTAACACAGTGGCTAGAGACGTTATCAGATATGGCTCAGAATAGAAGCCAGTGGCGATCCTGCTGTAACATCCTTTTAATTTCTTCGTAAAGAGTGGTTGCTACTTCATTAACTGTAAGATTTCCTCCGACTGTACCTTTTCGTTTCCCTCATTTTTGTTCTTTTTTTATAATTCCCTACGTTCCTTACATTTTTTTCCTTCTCTTTAAATTCTCATTGTTTTGTGTGGCGCATATATATTTGATGCCTCCTTGTACCAATATTTATGTGTTCAAATAAATAAATAAATAAATAAATAAATAAAATCGAACATCCAGTAAAATCCGGGGGATCTGACATATGAGCTTCGCCTTACATAATGCGTTATAAACAGGTTTATTCAAAAGTTTGACAACCTGAGGACCTATTTTGCACGGACCTATGATCACATAAGATACCACTGAATTGCTCGAGAGTCGATGTGGGCCAGCTTGCACCAGCAACATGTACTAAGCCTGGGAAGCCACACAAACAATCCTGTGGAATGTGCTTATAAACACTTACAAGAATGTCTCGAAAGATGTGATTCTCTACTATTGACGTTCTGGAAAATCTGGGGTAAGACAGATACTGGCCTATATTTCTGTCCATATGATGCTATAAAGGAGCTCCATTGTTTGTCAAAGCTTGAGATAAGAAATGTAGTTTAATGCATAGTTCATTTCAGGTTCCAAGGTCACTCAAAACTTTTAAATGAGCTCAAAGCTTTCGCAGTCAAAATTGTAGCTGTAAATTATAAACGTTTTAGGAGAATGAGACATGAAGTAATAGCCGGAGAATACATCAGCTGCTAAGAAAAGAGCATTATGTGTATTATTGATACTTCGCGTGCACGATGGGCTTGTGAGCGTTTCAGTGACTTCATGATGCTGTGAGGTCATATTTTGTATGCACATTTCAAAGATCTCATTCGTGGTGTGTGACGGCAGGGAAATTGTACTGTGCAGTCTCGCATGGCTGTGAAACATAGGGATGTTGATTCCTGTTGATGTGTAACAATTACCATGTCGGCATATGCGCGATCGGTCGTCCAGACCGCTTATCAAATACTGCAATCCTGAACATAGTGCATTAAACTGCTATGTCAAATTCCGTACTATTTTACTATTTAGAGATCACACAGAAGTTAATTTCTGGAGACATTAAGCTGATTTTGACAAGCTTTTGTTTCGAGATGTTTGATATCAATTAGCCTTATTTTTGGAAAAAGCATTGACTCGCTATTTTTGTATGTGCTCATTCGTCGAATATAAGTGGCACCATCTAATCTTTGCACTTAGTGGTCTGCTATTCACAAACTAACAGTCCTTTCTTCATGCAGTCAGTTTAGAATAATATGCCTCTGATTTAAAGACCAGTAGGACCTAGACATTTTTTACCTGCACCTATGATAATTAAAATAGATGAAAAATATGTACTAGTTGTTTACTCATCGAACGAATCATAAGAGTGAGTGATCGCAAGGTATTCATGGGATACTCATGTTACAACATGTACATGCACTTTCAGAAATAGTCCTATCGCTGACCATCCTATTCCTTAGTTACGCAAAACAACTAATGGAATGCATGTGAAATTTATTACATTGTATCTGTAATTATTTACAACAATATGAATATAAACATCCTCTTTGGTTATCAGATGTTTGATATCTAAATACCTTTTGTGCGAACATTACACTTGTTTTTGGTCGATTAATAAGAATAACCAACTCCACGAAATTTCCAAAAGTCTGCTGAGAAGGTAAACAAATGTTTGGTGAATTAGCATAGTGAACAAATACATGAAACTGGATAAATACATGCCAATGTACACACTTCTTGTTTCCGTGACAGATCTATACTTCGTGGCCGCCATATTATAGAGAAGCCGGTGTTTAAAAATGTAATATTTATTCTCAAACTTCATTGATTAAGCAGCTACCTTGATTTAATTTACTTTATTTCAAACAACAGTGACCTGTCTTTAGTAATCAGTCTCATATGAGACTGTAATATTTCACTTCTTCCAAGCGCCACTGTCAATGCACTTAGTTATTTTAATTGAAAAATCATACATTTAAATGATTTCTCTGAATCGCCTCATAATAGCGCTTATTTCTGCTACTATCCCTCTTTACAAGAGCATCGGTTACCTAGAAACTGAAATTCTGTACAGGAAGTGATTTTGAAGTGTGGTTAGGGCTATACGTACATTCTACGAATGAACATCGAATATACTAATCACCTTTTTTCTGAATGAACGCTCTCTTATAATGCATAATAGCAACAGCATCCGGTTTACTTCTTTTCTCTTTGCAAGCAGACTGATTTGAACCAATATGCTCATTAAAATCACTCTGACATGGGAGTCGCTGCAGTTTTGCTGTAGTTTCACCGGTTTATATAACTACTATCTTATGTGTAATCTACTAACCAAATGAGTTAGTGATATGTAAGGGCTAGTGGAAAAATGATTCATCAGTATAACATCCTCGTGATTCCTCCTGTTCTGCACAAATACTAAGCTCTCAACTTCAGCTTCCTTGAGCTGTGTACGCTGTAATGTATACATAATCTCACACTGATCGTTTTCTAGTTGTGACGCTTAAGCATGCTAACGCAAATGAGTGAGCAGCTCTACTTACTAAACTGGTCTGCTTTATTGCATGCCTCAAGCACTTTACTTAAGTATAGTATATTTATGTCGATAAACTTAATTATACGATAACCAGGAATAATAAACTAAGCAGGTGTCATAATTATTGATTCATTTACACAGACATGTTACTTAAAGTGGTTAAATGTGGATAATTACGCCTGTAAACCCAAGACAAGAACTTTAGGCCAGTAAAACTTATCTAACAGAAGACAAACGATATTGTTTTGAGATTAAGGACGACAGTGTTCTACTCATAAAACACAGTTTACAACACAACAAACCTTTATCCAGTAACATTCATTGACTAAACTTAATACGCCTTAGGGCGTAACGCAGTCGGATGTTGCATATAAAAATTACAGCCAAAACAAAATTCACTGCGTAATCTAGTTTCTTTAATAAAACAAATAGCATAACAGATCAAAAGACAACATGAACGTAAACATGACCATTATCCCGGTTTGCGATACATTAGGTTGACGTGATAACGTTAAGTATAAAACCACCCCGTAAAACCTTATAATGGTATTGTTCATTGTTGCTAAGTTTTGGTAGCCTTGACAGCAATACGGTTTTTATGACGATATATGATTTAGTCACGTCATTTCATAAAAGAATAAATTATTTGTCTACTCATATTGTATAGCTGAGTGATAATTAATGCTAGCGTGCCATGTAATTGCAGAAAAACTATTGTAGCAGCACTTGACCAATGAATTTTCAAGGACACTATGTATCAAAAAATGAAAAAAATTTTGTACTTGGTTTCAAAATGGAAAAGTAGACTCCTAAATTTACTTACAGTTAATTTAGACGTTTGGTTGTGCGTAAAGTATGAATAAAATAAGTAGCGCAAAATGCGTCACAATACCACAGTGTTTGAGATCATGTGCCTCAATGCTGATGATGCGCTCTCTTTCGAACATCCAACTGATTCAAATGGTTAAGGAGGTAGTAGTAGAAGCTTCTGCTTAACGAGCATCTGTATATAGCATCATGGGATCACCTACGCTTCCAGAAGGGGACTCAAGTGTAGGTGATGGGCAGAAGAGAATTAGTAGTAAATCGTAATATAATACTGGCTTGAAATCTTAAGAATTCCAAGGCTTGGCTACTCACTAAAATTATATGTACCTAGTGTTCAGTTTTCTGCGTTGTACCGCTGATTTCTGGATACTACCCTGAGTTGTGTATTGGGACTGACCTTAAATAGACATTTTAGAGGGGTGACAATAAGGAAAAGTCTAACCACTCACCAGTTTGTTTGCTCTTCGCAGTGGCACAGACAGTGAAATGAGTTAATATTTAGTCTTCCCGCGGTTGAATCTTCAGCGAATACATTTTCACGACATGATATTGTTTACCGTAGATCCTTAGACGCGAACCTGTCGGCTACCTGGAGTAAATAAACCATCTCACTGGGACACAGTCATCCGGTATAAACTGTCCTTCGAAATTCTTCAAGGTACTCGACAAGGTATATCATTGTAATTCGCTTTGGAAACTAAGCTCTATAGATATAAGCTCGTGACTGATGATGCGACTCTGTCAGATTGATTTTACATAGCAAGTGCAGAATCACAAGACTCAGATTTTGATCATTCCTCTTCTTACTACTCATTGATAAATTTCAAAACTATCCAGACCATAAAAGTCCTTCTTTTGCAGGAAATTTTAATATATAGAAGAAATTAGTTGGCCTAGGTTATGTCCTAAATTTTTCAACAAGATATTGTTGAGGCGCGTTAATGAGCCGTACGCTACACAAATGTTCAGGAACACATTCCAGAGTGGGTTTTTATCTATACTATTCAGTGTTGGGACGAAACCTCTGCAGATTTGGGACAAAAAGGTTTTTATCATGTCTGGTTTGATTTTTAAATATTTAAATTTAACTAGGTTCGCAACGGCCATATCAAAAGAATTACAGATAATGAAATCCAGTCATTGGTCTTAGAATTATTAGGAAGCAATGTTTCGTATGATCCGTCTTGTGTAGTCCTTACATAGTTGATGTAGAAACACTTATATATCTTGCCCTGCAGATCCTAGGAAAGCATTGGGCATTAAATTACCTTTCCTAGTGTTAATTGTAAAAAACCTCAATAAGTACTTTACGTTTGAAATTCAGGTATGCCATTCTCATTGCTCACTTTATTCTTTATTAGATCCTTGATGACGAGGGTGTTAAAAGGCGTTTTAGGGCCAGTAACTACCAGAGCACTACTCGGGTGAAGCCATTTATTTGCACCATGCCTCTCCGCTTGGAAGCCAATTGGAATAATATTTACTTCAACGTTGCAGACTTCACAAAGCGTGCATACGGGACTAATTTTGTCGAGGTGCTGCGAGTTCAGGTTTGTAATGGTCATTAAAATGAGATTTAATCCCAGGGGTGCTGCCAGATGCATTTTCATATGCTTTTAGAATTAAGTTACTTATTATTAACAATTTAGATCCCTCTAAGATGGCTTTATCAGAACTTGTTAGACTACGTGATGTCACGGGAAGCGATAATTATCAGATTGACAATGCTTAAGGCACAAGAAAAATATGAAAAAATAACGAAAAAATGTATGTTGATATTAACGAAGCCGCGTCTAAATGCATGTTCATGAACAGGAATATAACGCAGTAATTTCAATACGTTATTATTTCCAAGTTGGTTATTTCCAAACAAATCGTTAAGAACATGCGAATTGATGCGCATAAACCACATTAGATGTAAACGTTCCAGTTAGAACGTCAGGAGTGTGTTCTCTTAATGGTTCATCACTTATTGGTTATGTGCTACGTGTATGACTCCAAGTATGACACGTATATACAGTAACCATTTACTTACCAAGCCAGGATTTGTATTTGCACGGATACAGTAGCACGATTTTAATCGGAAGTACAGGTAAGCAGATAATTGTAGGGGTGAAATAGAATGTTTTCACTACCTAGAAACAAATTAGGTGCTTATGTGCTGTGAAATAATCATTATGCTTTATCCTAATACGCTTCAAAGTTGCTCATTGAATAATATTGATTTTATTGATGTAGGCGCGCTACCTGTGGATCCAAACTAGAGCTCACATTTTTATTTCAGTTTTAACCCATCATCTATATGGTACATATTTGTCATCAACCATTATTTGACTGTACCTAAGCTAAACATTTTGATAGTTTTATACGCAGTACTTTAGTACCGTATGTAAACAAGTCTTTCAGGTTTTTATCAGTTGGTACGAAGACTACTTTCCAATGTGTGTATCATGGACTCCTTGTTATGAAGCATTGACGCTTACTATTAATTCCTAACGACTGACTAGATGTAATAGCCATTGCAATTGGGAATAAAAAAATATCTTAACCAGTATGTTTATAATAATTTTCCAAGTCTTAAAAGTAGTTTTGTATAAGGTTGTATACTTTGTAGCATCCAAAGGTATATAAATGACTATTAGAGCAAAAATAATACATTAAAAACACATCTCTCTTCGAAACATATTTTTAGATTCACGCTAATTGTCGAATAAGACGTATTTACTTTTGTGACCGCCTCTATTCGGACGAAGAGCTCCCTGCAGAGTTCAAATTATACCTCCCTGTTCAAGTAAACCGGAACACTTAGAAATTTTCATTGTAAATGTTTCCACCTGTTCCAATGACAATTTTAACACTTTTCAAACTGTTATGTACATGTTTTAATTTGGTGCATAATAAGTATATTTTGTTATCCATTATACTGAGTATTTCTACTTTCTAATAAAACGATTTGTGAAAACCTTCCAATAAATTTCATGTTCATTTATATTAGTCTTTTTGGTCGGCGTTCTTCAGTGTGTTGAAATTACTACTGAACTATGCATTCTTTTCTCAATCGCATCACAATTTCACTGCATCAGCGTTATATTGTAGCTATCATGCTTAAGATGTTTGGTTTTATGCAAGTTTGGTATTTTTTGTTTATAATTTCCAGAAAGTTACTTATTCGCTGTTGATATGTATCAACTGTTTTTGTAGATGTCTTACTTTCACTTCTGATTATGGCTAAACGCTATTTGAAATTCAGTGTTGATATGGATTCATTTACTTGACATGTTTCAACTACGATTAAACTGGATCCAGTACTTATAGTCAGTTTTTTGTAAATAAGAATAGAACATCAATTTTTTTGCGCAGTTTTATGCATAAAAACAGATGCCATGCATTATCTTACTCATAAGTTAGTTTTTTTACAATTCAGCAATCATGGAGTCCTGGGGAAATATATATTTTAGCTTCGGTTGCCAAGTAACAACATAGTCTCCTGTTGGGATCATGTTAAATGACAAGAACTTGGTTATTGCGGAGTTCTTTGGCTATACCGTCGAGCGTAAAAGATTAGATTTCTGATTACCCTTGTACTTCCAACTAAACATATTAGAAGTTAACGTCCAATGACTGTAATTACGATTTACGATCATTCCCGCTTTGATAAGTTAGTGGTTCTGGTAACATGGAAATATTGCTAATTTTCGCAAAATTATGTGGCTAGACTAAAAGGATTTTCATGAAGATAAACTGATTGGTGCTATCTTGTTTAAAACAGTATTTTTTGTATATTTTCTAAAGTTTCAGTAATTCTCAAGGTTACCGGTTGTATCATAATTGTAAAATACCATATAAGAACCAAGTAAATACTCACTCTATGGAATGCACGGTAAATATAATCTAAAAACTCATCTGCAAACACTCAACACCATTATATTAGTTAGTCACGTAATAGAATATTAGCTAACCCTTTGACAATCTGTAGATAACCCATGTTTTCGTCGTGATTTAGAATTCATGTACCATTTGAAGTCCTAAACTTGGAGAGGAAAATTGGGAGTCAAACATATGAAAGTTCCTTTTCACTTCTATCTTGAAGATTTGCTCTGATCTCAGCTATCACGGGGTCTAAAGGTATGAAATTATGAGTATGGCGTTAAGCTGCTTTGCATTGTTGTCACTCTCCGAGTCTGTCACTTGAATAGTTTCGAAACATATAAAATTAAAGACATGTCAAAATATCTTTTGCATACATTTTTAGTAGCAGAAACTCATTACAATAATATGGGACAGTTTATGTAAATTGTCTTTAATGTCCTTTTTCAGATATGCTTAGTTCAGAGAGCTCTATGTCAGTATCGTCATACGACTGCTTCTGAACTAACCTTTAACTCCCTCTTTTCTAGAATAAAACAACGATGCTACGCATTTACCAAGTTTAGATTCGGCTCATTGACTTCATTGCTATGTTGGGGATGTGTCGAGATAGTTGAGTTTTCTAGTGAACATAGTGGACTGGTTTGAGCGATACAATCATGAAAATTATGCACCGATTAACCAAACCTTCATAGTTTTTTTACTATTACAATTCTTCATCATCAATAATATGAGTATATTTCAGAAGAAAATTAACATGTGTATATATTACGCTAAGATGGTTGGTAACATTTCGATAGTTTTTTTACTGTAGATTATATCGTGACAGAGTTGTTAAATAAATGATAAAGAGGAACCGTTAAACCTAGGAACTCCTCACTGTCTACACCAGCTTCAATAACCAGGATGTATCACTAGCCACCACCAAAAGTAGTTACATTTGTATGTAATTTACTAGATTCTTTACCATTTCGCTGTAGAGCTAATTCTCTGTGTTAGTCACGTAGGGAGACCCACACACATTAAAGCACATCGTAATTCACTACCATGAATATAACAGAAACTGTTATGATATTTGCTCCTGTCAATTATCACGTGACTATGACTTCAACCAGAATACCAACCTCGATGGCCTTGTCCCTGTGGTAAACCACTGACATCAGCCAGCTCTAACAGCTTTGCGACAACTTTGAATCCCTATCGGTCTTCAATATAATATTTTCTCGCCTAGCTCTGCGCGCTGAGTTCAGAATACAATATCAGCCTCCACTTTGTGAATAACGTATTTCAGACAAATAGTTTATATACAAACAAACCGAACCTCATCACACCACAGAATAAAAAATAACACAAGATCAAGTAAAAAGTGGCTGTGATTGTGGAGGACCGTAACTAATAGATAGAGAATAAATTAAAAATAGTAAATCGCATAGTAGTAACTAATGGGTTAAGTGAAAGCTTATAAAAAGAATAAGCGTATATACATGTGATCTGGTTGCGTAATAAGAAAGTTTATAACAGTCTATAAATAGTTCCCAGAAGTCATCCATAGTTTAATCTTCAGATACAAAAGAAACAAGATAATTACTATCAGTACAAGGAGCTTGCAAACCTGGAGATATTAGTTGTTCCATTCATGGAAATTGAAAATTACTAATATGTTGATCAATCCCTAACATTTGAAACGGTGAGTCTTTTGTTTTAGCCTTCTTGGGATCATCTCCATCAGGATATTGTTAGATTCACGTGATGAGGTCTGAGTAGATCGACTCACTGCTAACCGTTATCATAGTTGTAAAAATTTAGGATCCTTTTTTAGTGATTGTTGAAGAAGTTACTTCTGGATAACCCTTTGTGATCAGATGTCTATGAGCTGTAGTTTTTTCCTATTTTTTAAAGGGAAAGCAACAGGGACCCCTGGTAATATTTAAATATCCTTCGCAACCAACATTTTATTACTCAAACAGGGATATAATTATCTAACCTCAGTGAGCGCATGATGTGACTCATTTTTTAGAAATTAAGTGGCAGAATCAAAATGTTAATCATATTTTTCAGTCTTCATATATTTTGTCAGGAATAGAAATACATCTTTTTTCTTCGATAAAATACTTACGATACGTTTATTTCAGCTAATAACTTCTGGAAAAACCATTAGAAAACGTTAAGCTTTAAATTTACCTTTGTTAAATAAGATTTTTGTTGGAAGAATCGGATTAAATATGCCTCTGAAAGTTACATACAATATGATAATCAATCTATATTCAAAAGAGTAACATAATTTAATGTTTGTGAAGCCATTAAACAAGTTAATCTCAACTGACCTAACGTTAAAGTTCAGAAAGTACCGGACAACTGTTTCATTCTAGCATAAGACTGTTCATCAGTGAAACCAATTCATGACGAATACCACCAAATGAATCACTGCAAAACTCCATATTAATTATAATTGTGTGCTTACTGGTGACATACTGAGAGATAATTTTTTGAAGTTTCATGGGAAAGTTGTGATCGGTGGAGTATTACCAATTGGCACTGAACGATCATCATACTGTATCGTAAATTGATTGCATTTGGAAATGTAAAACATTGAAACTTACCCAATAGTTTAGTCTGTAATTGCTTACCACAAATTCTGAGGGTTCTGGGTTCAGTTACTGGTAGGGTGGTGGGTACGAGGTTTTAAGGAGTACAGTCTTATGACAAATCAACTGTTCAGTAATTTATGGTTTTCAATAATAATACAAATGAGGTCTATCCGTATCAAATATCATTTATCAAATAAACGAGCCTCCGAAAATATTTGATATTTATTATTTGGGATAGACATATCAAAGTGTTAAGTTGATGACTAATATATCATCTAAGTTTAGAGATAACTATACTGAACATAAGTTGTATAATTTTATTTGCTTTTCTTGCAAACATAAAGACATTTTCTGAGATAGCACATATGAATCAATAAAGAGTATCAGTTGGGATTATTTCACTATAGTTGGTATCGCTCAAAGACAAAATTCTGTGTTAATTTCCAAACAGAATTTTATTACATAAAAATACAGAACGTTATTAATACTTCAAACCTTCTCAAATGTTTTCATTGTAGTTAGTCTTCAGAGACTTTGTGATATTTTTAATCAGAATATTGAAGAATAAAATCGACACTGGGATGAAGGCAAGTTCAGCTGAAGAGTCTCAGCTAGGAAGAAAAGAGTTTCTTGGCTTCCATTGCTAACTACAATCTATCTACTCATTAACTTCAGGGTTTTTTAGCGTTTTTTCTTAAAATATCACACTAAAAGCATACAGACCTTTCACAAAGTTAGTTGTTTACATACTGTATTCAAAAGATCAATTAAATTCTGTTACATACATTCCTCTTTAGGAAAGCTAATGTCAACTATTGATTGTTTGCCTTTCCGAAGAACAACTGTCCATATATTTTCATAAGTAGCTTTTAATATAATTTACCGAAAAATATCCTATTCTCTTTGGGTGCCCTTAGAAGAACTATAATATTTTAAGTAACATTTGTAAAACATTATAGGTAATTTATTGAAACATTTTAAAATGCAAATCTCTCATAAATCCGTAAAATATCTCTAGCTGGAATAGATATAAACAATTTGAGGCCTGGTACAAATGTGTTTATCTAAGTTTTTGCATGTCATAGAAAATTTAAAAATGCATAAAAAGTAATGCTAATAATTAGTAGTAAGGGATTTCAAGAAAAACTGTAACTGGTGGTGTTTGAACACGGGATCCAAACAGCTGTCACCTGTAACATTTCATAATCAACAAGAGATATGGGAACTTAACTGGTGCTTAGAATGTATCACTGATCGCCGATTCAATGGCTCTAACGGCTAGGCGTTTGCTGCAAAAACTTGAAGACCCCATATTTGGCTTCCGGAATGATCTTGGATACACACTTTTTGTGAGTCTCGCACTGGAACAAAACAGCTATCCGGTGAATCGTGGTTTTTAGTGGGATCCCTTCCGAAATCGATTTGTAGTGTATATAATCTACACTTCAAGAGATGTGAACAGAATTTTGGAATGAAAATTAGGAGCATTATATGACATTTTAGATATACAGGGAACTATAGTATGGATTCATGTGTACTATTGTAAAAGATTTTGTCACATAAGATTTTTTACTACTTACTACATCAATCCCAACCACGAAGTCTTCACCTACTTTCATTACTCATGTCAATAATCAATAACTTCATGGTATGACCGTTCCTTGCCATCATTCAACCTGTTCATGTCCTTACTATAATACTTTATCGGAGGAAGAGATAGCTGAGTACGTATGAAATATTACCTATCCATATCAACTGAATAAAAAGCACAACCGTCCTAAACGATCGAAAACTACTGTCGACTAATCAGAGTTTAATAGTAGAAGTGTTTATGTGGTTCCTTCGTTAAATTTTATCAGTACTAAAATGGAATCTTTTGTCGAACATTTGCAGTTTATACATATCTCCTGCATTCAAAATTCATGTTTTACAGCTGTGAATAAAGT